CGCTCCTGGGCCCCCCTCTTGGGCCGTCCAGGTGCGATTTGGGGGACCTCTTGGGCTGTCTTGAACCCTGTGAAAGCCGAAAATGCTGATATGCTAAAGATGTAGGTTTTCCTATAGGAGTTTGACGATTTAAGCCTCTATGGGGTCTTCTTGGGGGCCTCTTGGGGCCCTCTTGGACCGTCTTGGAGCCATCTTACGGTGTCCTGGGGGCCTCGTGGACCGCTTGGGCGCTTCTTGGGCAGTCTTGGGCGCCTCGGGGACCTCAAAAGGCCACTAGAGCCCGGGTTGGCGCGCCTCGCCCCTTCCCTGGAGCCCCTCCCTAGAGGGCTTCGCCCCACCAAAAAACGTACATCACTCGTACCTCGCTCTTTCCGTCACCTGGGCCGGCACGGGAATGAAAAGAGTGCTGCAGGACCTTGCCCGAGAAGGCTCGTGGCACCCTTCGCTCTGGGGAGCCTTGGCGTTAAGTGTGTGTTGCGCTACCGCTCTCTGTTGGGAGCCCTGGTGTTCAGAGACTTTTACGTTGCCGCCCGCTCTTGGGAGCCTTGGTGTTGAGAGTTGTTTACGTCACCGGTCGCTCTTGGGAGCCTTGGTGTTCAGAGCTTGTTACGTCACCGCTCGCTGTGGGGAGCCATGGTGTTACTTGGCGTCTCTTGGCCTTCTTGGGAGTCTTTTGGCGGCCCTTTTTGACCGTTTTGGGACTCTTGCACCGTCTTGGGGTCAGCCCAGTCCCACACCCAAGCAGCCCACTCCCCACACCGCCTGTTCGGGCCCTCTTGGGCCATCTGGGGTCCTCTTGGGACCGCTGTGGGGCCCTCTGGGGGACCCTGATGGACCGTTTTCGGCTGGGGACGATCTTTGGGAACTCTTGGGCCGTCTGAGGCCCTACTGGGCCCGACGAAGCGAGAAACCCCAAAACCTTCTTTCTAATAAGAAAATGTGTTTGCCCTCCTGAGGCCCTCTCGGGGGCCTTCTCGAGAGCCATTATTTTAGGGATCTTTGGCCGCCTTGGAGCCTGCCCAGTCCCCACACCCAAGCAGCCCAGACCCCACACCGCCTCTTCGGGCCCCCTTGGGAGTCTCTTGGGAGCCTCTTGGGAGCCTCTTGGGGCTCTCTTGGGGTGGTCTTGGGGCCCTCTTGGGCCTTTGTGGAGCCCTCTGCGGCCGTCTGGAAGCCCTCTTGGACCATGTTCGGCCCCTTTGGGGGGTCTCTGGAGCCGTCCTGGGACGCTCTTTAGGCCTCTTGGGCAGTCTTGGCCCCTGATTGTCCCGAAAAGGCCCGAAACTCCAAAACCGACGAAAAAACCCTTGTTGTTGGCCTCCTGAAGCTCTCTCGGGGGCCCTCTGGAGGGCCTCTGGAGCCGGCTTGAGGCTCTCTTGGGGCCGTCTTTAGGCCGTGTTGGGGCCCTCTCAAGGACGTCTTGGGGCCCTTGAGCCGCTTCGTTCACATAAATACCAGGAAACGGGCCATAGGAGACGCCCAGGGGCCGCTTCACTCGAAGTAATGCGAAGGAAGCGGCCCCCGAGCGGACATTACAGCCCGTCCTTGCGCGCCTCGCCCCTCCCCTGGAACCACTCCCTCTTCGCCCCCGCACAAGAACGTCATCAATCGTACCTCGCTCTTTCCGTCACCTGGGCCGACACGGTAACAGAAAGAGCGTATCAGAAACTTGCCCGAGATGGCTCGTGGCATCGTTCGCTCTTGGGAGCCTTGGTGTTAAGAGTTGTTTGCATCACCGCTCTCTATTGGGAGCCTTGGTGCTAAGGGCTTTTGACGTTACCCCTCGCTCTTGGGAGCCTTGGTGTTAAGAGCTTGCCACGTCAGTATGGGAGGTTGGAAGCCTTGGTGTTCAGAGCTTGTAACATCACCGCTCGCTCTTGAAAGCCTTAGTATTAAGCGCTCGTCACGTCAATAAGGGCTCTTGGGAGCCGTGGTGTTCAGACCTTTTTACTGCACCGCTCGCTCTTGGGAGCCTTGGTGTGAAGAGCTTGTCACGCCACTATGGGCTCGTGGGAGCCTTGGTGCTCAGAGCTATTTACGTCACCGCTCGCTCTGGGGAGTTGTTGACGTCCCCGCGCGCTGAGGAGCCCTGGTGTTACGAGAATAGAGCCGAAGGGCCATCTTGGGGGTCCTATTGGGGCCCTCTTGGGCCCTCTTGGGGCCCTCTTGGGCGCCCAGGAATGGTGTCCTGGCACGATTTAGGACTATCAGGGCACAACACTCAGATTGATTCGCGGTGTTGAGGTGTTGAAGTCCCAGGCATGGTGTTCAGGCACGAGCTAGGATTCAAGTTTGGCACGATGGAGGATTATCAGACGGCTGTCTTGGAATGACGCACTCCCAAGCAATGAACTAGTTTAAGAAACTGTGAAGATGGAACTTGGATTGAGTGTCTTGCAACATAGTTGATGCGGTCTGGGTTTACACTGGACCTCCTTCTCCTCCTGCTCCTCCTCCCTAGTATTCCTCCTCCTCCTCCACGTCTCCCTTCCTTATAAGTAACGCATCCCATACGCGTTTGTAGGGCGAGCCGGGCGTTTCGCCTGAAACTGCCACACGGCTCATGAGCCTGAAGCTTAAAAATCCATCACGTGCACGGACAAGGGCAAGTGATGTTCAAAACGTGGCTATGGACTCAGCACTCCCCGCCGCACGCATTCGTCCTATGGGCTCCCGACAGGTGCATGGACGGAGGACGATTCGTTTTCGACGTGTGGTTCTCGCCTTAGCGCTGCGCTCATTGACCTAAAAAACTGGATCGCTACGCTCAGAAAGGGCTGGTGGCCTTCAGAATGTAATCATCGACTTCGCACCGCGAGCATTCGCTTCTACAAATCCCATGCTTGCACGGATGCAGGGCTAATCGTATAGGGGAACAAAAAGTGACATAAACATGAAAACTCGGAGGGCCGCGCGGATTTCTCGGATCGGCGCTGGGGCCCCCCGGCGGCGCCTCCGGCGCCGCCCCTGGCGCGCTCCGCGCCAGGGAGGGGGCTGTCCAGCGCGATCGAGAAATCCGCGCGGACCTCCGATGTGTATGTTTATGACATTCTTGTTTCCCCTAATTCGAGACCCTTTCATCACGCCCCCCACCTCCCTCGCGCGCATTCGTTTTACAAAGCCAGCTTACACGATGCAGGCTAAGGGTATTCAAAATGGGCCGCCGCCCAGCACCGCGGAAAAGGAGAAACACAATACGAGGAAAAAGAAGTGAGGAACCTACCCGATTCTGGCCAGGCCCATCCTGAGCCAGGATCGGTGCACACGCCCCCTACCTTGGCCAGGAAGGCATATGCACCGATCCTGGGTCAAGGATGAGGAAAAGGATGATTTTGCTGTGAACCGCGCACGCCAAGCTGTCGAAAAGATCGCCAAGCAGGGAAGAATGAAGGGGCCCTGGGACACACAAATAAATACACACAAATAAGAAGCTTCCCCATATTTTCCCATATTTTCTGGGTTCCTGTCTTCCCCCCCACTTCCCATATCTTCCTATATTTTCTGGGGAGTCGACGATGAATTGTGTCTGTGTTTTTTTCCCTCCTGCATGTGCATAGTTCTCTTCGCCCGGTGCAAAATTCCCAGCGGCCTTCTCAGAAATGGGGCCCTCGCCCGCGACCTCTTCGCGCCCGACGGCCAGGAGGTCAAAGCTATGCAGTGGTCCCCTCCCCCCTCCCTCGCTCCCCCTCCTCCTCCTCCTCCTCCTCCCCCTCCTCCTCCTCCCCCTCCTCCTCCCCCTCCTCCTCCTCCTCCTCCTCCTCCTCCTCCTCCTCCTCCTCCGGCACGCGGGTGTGAAGGACGCCTCATGCTCAGAGCAGGGATCTCGCTCGACACATCCTCGGACGCCGTGGCCAGAAGACTCTAGTTGTGGAACAGTACGAAGACGGAGGACTTCAAAAACTCAAATCGAGATGGACACTTCCCGGAACGTTCTGCCCCTGACGATCCTTTCCCGATTCGGCTTGCCGAAAGGGGGGTTCTTACTTGGTTAACTGTTAGTGCCTCGGGAACCTGCTATGACCGTTCCCTGGAAATTCCCTGGGATCCTCGGGATCCCCAGGTTCCTCGGGTTCCTCTGGTTCCCTGGGCTCCTCGGGTTCCCCAGCTTCCTCGGGTTCCTTGGGTTCCCCAGGTTCCTCGGATTCCCGTGGTTCCTCGGGTTCCTCAGGTTCCCCGGGTTCCTCGGGTTCCCTGGGTTCCCCAGGTTCCTCGGGTTTCCTGGGTTCCTCGGGTTCCCTGGTTTCTTAAGGTTCCTCGAGTTCCCTGGGTTCCTCGGGTTCCCCAGATTCCTCGGCAATGCCAAACAATGCCGAGCAATGTCAACCCGTGCCAAGCAACGCCAAGCGATGCCAAGCAATGCCAAGCAATGCCAACCCATGCTAAGCAATGCCAAGCGATGCCAAGCAATACTAAGCAATGCCAACCCATGCAATGCCAAGCAATGCCATGCAATGCCAAGCGATGCCAACCCATGCCAAGCACTGCCAAACGTTGCGACCAAATAATGACAGCCCATGCCAAGCAATGCCAAGCGATGCGCCTAGCAACCGGCTTTCCCAAAATTGGGGTCGCGACGGGTTCATATGACTTTCAAGCTGGGAAAATGAAAAACGATACTGTTCAAAATGGGGGGTCTCGACCGAATGCCAATCCCATGGAGCGCTTGCCTGTCAAGGGGGCACGGGGCACCTCTCGCAATGTGCAGGAATGCTCGCGGGGACTCGCGAGGGGACTTGGGACGGGAGGTTGCTCGTAAATATTGCCACATCGTTGACGCATCCTGGCTTTACTCTGGTCCTCTCCTCCTCCTCCTCCTCCTCCTCCGACTCTCCTCCTTACTCATCATCTTCATCCTCCTCCTCCACCTCCTCTTCATCCGCCTCCTGCCCTCCCTCTCCTCACTCCTCCTCCTCCTCCTACCCTCCCCCGCCACCTCCCCTCCCTCCCTCCCTCTCCCTAGCTCCCTCACTCCCTCCTTCCTCCTCACCTCCTCCTCACTCTCCTCCTCCTCCTCCTCCTCCTCCTCCTCCTCCTCCTCCTCCTCCTCCTCTTCATCCTCCTCCTCCTCCTCCTCCTCCTCCTCTTCCTCCTCCTCGTCCTCCTCCTCCTCCTGCTCCCCAGTCCTGAGCTGTGCCCCTACAGAATATGGCGGGGCAGCTCTGGGATCGGTACGCCTCGCTCGGCGCGGTCTCCCTTGAGACGAGCTCCAAGAACGTGTTCTTGACGCACGGAACCGTGGCGAACTCCCCAGACTGCCCGTTCGCCTCCGAGGCGTCCGAGCAGACCAGCATCTCGGTGCTGGCTGACGACGCCAGGGAGGTTGAGCTCTGCCCGGCGCTGGTGGCCACCTCCTTGGGATATCCAAATGACTCGACGCGGAGATCACCATATTTGCATCCCATACTCCTGTCAAATTTCGCTGAGGAGCTAAGTCCATGAGTGTCTGGGTGTGAGAGCGAATCCACGTAGCGACAGGCGCGGCAATGACGACGACGACGACGACGACGACAACGACGACTTCAGCGACGTCCTGCTATCCCTCTGGCCATCTTTCAGGGGGGACGAGGGAAACGCAAGTGAAAGAACGAGGGGGAGTTCTCTTGCCCTTCTCCCAGCGGCAACTCAGGCAAGCGCGCATGGCGTTGCTGCGCCCGCTCTCTGGCGTGCTATTTGTGGCGCGTGCATGCACTTGGGGTGCCCAAGTGCCACGCTGGCTATATATATATATATATATATATTATGTAATCAAATAGAGAGTGATATAATATATATAATATATATATATTATATATATATATATATATAATTATATATTATATATTACATATATAGATATATATATTATTCCTCTTCTATAGTTTTAAAGCCGGGCGGGGGCAACCCATCACCCCCCCCCCAAAAAAAAAAAAAAAAACCGGACTCCCGGGATCTGGGGCTGAGGGACCCTCCGGACGGGCCTCGTAGCGGCCCCAGGGCCTCGCAGGACGTGGCGCGCTCCCGAAACGACCCCAAAGAGCCCCAATACGATCGACGACGACCCCCAAGAAGCCGTCATACCCCCAAAGATCGTTCCGAAACGTCCCAAGAGGCCTCCAAGAGCACTCCCAAGAAGGCCCCAAGAGGCGAAAATCCTTGATTCTGTTGGTTTATGGCTTATTTTGGGGTTCTCCTCTTTTCGGTTTCCCGACGCTCCAAGACGGCGGTCTTCTGGGCGTCCGAAGCCGCCTGGGAGGCTCCAAAATCGCCCCACAACCATCCGAAAGGGCTTCCAGGCAGTCCAAGAGAGCCCCCAAACGGCACAACAGTGGTCCAAGATGGCCCTCAGGGAGCCCCATGGCGGCCCAAGATGGCCCTAAGACACCCTCCGAAGCATTCCAAACCGTGACCCGGTCGTTCAGGGAAACCGCGGTTGGAGGCAGGGTGGCCCGACAAACCCCCAGAACCCCCCAGAACACGCCCAGGAGGCCTCCAGAAGGCCTTAAGAAAGCCTCCAGAACACACCCATGAGGCCCCCAGAGGCTCTCCAAGGAGGAGCCTCCGCAAAAAGAGCTGAGGAGGATGGGGAGAATGCGCAGGGCATGGCGAAATAGGAATAAGAAGCACGGAGGAAGGATAACGAATAACATTATTATAGCGGCGATGCCGGAAAAAGGAGTTATCGCTAAATTGTCGGCTTGACCTTCCCGCTAGTCCGCCTGCATACCAAACTTCAAGGACCAAGGTGCATGGCGCGAAGCGCCACTGCAGTCTTGTATATATATATATATACATACACATAAATGTATGTGTGTGTGTGCGTGCGTGCGTGCGTGCGTGCGTGTTTGTGTGTGGCCCAGTCCGCTGTGCGGCTCCACAGCGGGCGATCTGCCTCACTTCATGTGCTTGTCCTTCGTGCGCGCCCGTGTTTCTGCACGCGCAGCTGTCTGACTGTTGCCCCTACCATTTCAAGCGGCATACGTTCGGTTGTGATTGTTTAGCGCACCCCGCTAACGCCCTCGCCGAGTTGGATCGACCGGCCGCGAAGCATTCAAGTGTGCTCCAGTCTCCTGGTATAGCCTGTCCTCCTCCGTATCCGTTTTGGCGTCAGGCCAAACCCTTCCTGGTTTTCCCGCGTGGCCAGTCGTGCGACCAGACGCTCGTGGCCAGCATGGCGGGAAGCAGCAAAGAGGAAGAAAGGACGAAGATGAGAGCAGAGACAGCAGCATGTTCACAGGCAGATTAAGCTGCCTCCTCGCCCTCCTCCTTCTAGCCCTCCTCCCCCTCCCTCCCCAGAGGTCCCTTATCCCAACGGGGGACTCGGGAGGTCCCCACATAGCTTCGAGGCAGCTGCGGAGGTCCCCATAGAGGGAGTCGACCCTCTTCCTCGCGATGGCCATGCCGGCTCGAGGGTCTCGCCGGGTTCCTCCGCGCCCCAGGGCCAGCCCATGGCGTCCTTCCATGCCCCGGCGTCGCTCCAAGCGGCCGGCTGCAGGGTGGTGGCCAGGGACCTCCATCCACTCCTCCTCCGCCTCCTTCTCCTCCTCCTCCTCCTCGTCCTCCTCCTCCTCCTCCTCCTCCTTATGCTCCTCCTCCTTCTTCTCCCCCTCCTCCTCCTCCTGCTCCTCCTCCTCCTCCTCCTCCTCCTCCTCTCCCCTCCTCATCCTCATCCTCATCCTCATCCTCATCCTCCTCATCCCCCTCCGTCTCTTCCTCCTCCTGCTGTTCATTCTCCCAAAGCTCCATGAGAACCTCGAAGAAGAGGTATTTCGACCACCCCGCAAGTCCCTGTCCCCCGATCGACCCAACGATGAGACTCTCCCCCTTCTCCCTCACTCCTCACGTTCTCTCCTCCCCGCCCTCTCTCCTCGCCCTCCCCGCCCTCTCTCCTCACCTGCCCTCCCGCCCTCTCTCCTCGCCCTCCTCGCCCTCCACATCCGTCCCCGCCCCCGCCCTCTCTCCTCACGTTCTCCCCCCACCGTTCTTCCTCCACTCTCCGGAGCGAGCGCCGGCCCTGCCAATCCTCCGGCAGCGAGCGATTGACGATTGAGGGTCGGAGCGCTCGGCGGAGTGCCAGATGCACTACGCCGGCGGGCGAGAGTCAGCTCGCCCGCCTCCAAGCGGTGCGGAAGGCGGGCGACGCCTTCCTCCCCGTTGTGCGCAACGCAGTGTCGATGCCTCCGTCTCTGGTCTCGTCCGCGCGGAGATGGTCAGGAAGGGGAGTCCACAAGCTGAAAATCAAGATCTGGAGCCCAGGCCCCCGCAGGAGTTTCGCGGTTCTACCAAAACTGGCCACAGGCAGCCCCAGGAGGCCCCAGGAAACCATATTTTTTCGTCGGCGGGGCGAGAGCGAACCTCTTCCGCTAAAAGCTAGGCGGGCTACGCACAGCACTGATTAGGGAAACCCCATGATTCCCCAGGAGGCTCCAGGACGCCCCAGGAACCCTCAGGAGGCCCCAGGAGGCCCAAGGAGTCACCAGGAGGCCCCGGGATGCTCAAGGAGGCCCTGGGCCGCTCCAGGAGGCCCCAGAAAGCCCCAGGAAGTCCCAGGAGACAACAGGACGCCCCAGGAGACCCCAGTAGGCCACAGGAAATCACAGGAGGCCCCAGGACGCCCCAGGAAGCCCCAGAAGGCTTCAGGATGCCACAGGAAGCCCCAGGAGGCCTCCTGACTTCAGGAGGCCCCAGGATGCTCCAGAAAGCCCTGGAGGCCCCAGGAAGCCACAGGAAACCCAAGGAAGTTCCAGAACGCGGTCACACGAGACCCCAGGAACCCCAGGACACCCCAGGATACCCCAGGCAGCCATAGGAAGCCAGGAAGCACCAGGAAGCCTCAGGATGCACCAGGAGGCCGCAGGAGACACCAGATTGAATCTGGAAGCCCCATGAGGCCACCACAGGAAGTCACAGGAAGCTCCAGGACGCCTTCAGGAAGCCACAGGAGACCCCAGGAGGTTCCAGGAAGCACCTGTAGGCCCCAGGTGGTCCCAGGAAGCCCCAGGAGGCTCCAGGAAACCCAAGGATGCACCAGGTCACCAGGAAGCACATAGAGGCGACAGCAAGCAACCGGAAGCCAGAGGAAGCCACAGGAAGCCACGGGCAGGAAGCCCCAGGAGTCCACAGAAGGTCACAGGAAGCCCCAGGAGGCTCCAGGAGGCGTCAGGAAACCACAGGATGCCCCAGGTGGCTCCAGAAGGCTAGGCCCCAGGAGGCTACAGGAGGCACCTGGAAGCCCCAGCCAGAATGCCCCAGGTGGCTCCAGAAGGCTCCAGGCGACCACAAGAGACCCCATGTTGCCCCAGGAAGCCCCAGGAGGCCATAGGAAGCCACAGGACGCCCCAGGAGGTCCCGGGAAGTCTCAGGAGGCCCCAAGAGGCACCAGGAGACCCTAGGAAACCTCAGGGAGCCCTTGGAGGCCCCAGGAGGCTCCAGGAGGCACCAGGAAGCCCTACGAGCTCCAGGAAGCCAAAGGAACACCTTTTCATGCAGCCCCCCCCCCGCCCCTACGGATGTCGCATAGCGACTGATGCGTGAAGCGCGACCCCCGCGCGCGACACGCTCGACAAACAGCAAGTCGCTCAGCGATACGCATCTTCAGGCAGATCCCCCACACATTTTTACGGAGTTCGCATAGGGACCGATGCGCGAAGCGCGACCCCCGCGCGCGACGCGCGCAACAAATGACTAGTCGAGTAACGAGTCGCATTGCCCCTTCTACGCGCGACACGCTCGACAAATGACGAGTCGCGCAGCGATGCGCATCTCCGGGCAGACCGTTCCACCGTTGCGGGATCCGCAGAGCGACCGATGCGCGCAGCGCGACCCCCGCGCGCGACGTGCACGACAAAGGATCGATCAGTCGCGCAGCGATGTGCCTTCCCCCTTTGCAGGGGGCGGCGTGGGGGTGAAGGCCAGGAGGGAGCCGACTCTCGGGCGCAGCCGAGGCAGGGTGTCGGGGCTGGATCGCGGGCATCGGGTAGCGCGCACAGAAGCACCCCACCCCTCACAACCCCGTTTAGGGGGGTGGGATGCGCGCGCACACTCCAATGTCAGCACTCTCTCTTTTTTTTTTCTCTCTCTCTCTCTCTCTCTCCCTTTTTTGTTCTCTCTCTCTCTCTCTTCCCCCTATCCTCTCATCCTTCCTTCCTCCTTCCGCCTCGTTCCTTGCCATCTCTGCTCCCATTGTCTGCCCCTCGTTCTCCCTACCCGCTTCCTCCACTCTCCCTCTCTCCTTCCTCCGTCCGCACCTTTTCCTTCCCCCCTCTCCTCCCAATTCTCCCCCCCCCTTGTTCCCCCCCCCGCTCCCCCCGCCCCTTGGGGGGTCCAGGTCCACTGTGCCACCCGTCGGCCGAGAGAGAGAGAGAGAAAAAACATCGGCGCAATAGTAAGGGACGGGTGGGAGGAGTAGGACACCAGATGTGGAGCGGACGCGCCTCGCTGGTCCTCTTCCATCTCCTTCCAACTCCCTCCAACTCCTTCAAACTCCTGCTCCTGATCCTCCTCCTCCTCCATCTTCTCCTCCTCCTTCTTCTCCTCAACCTCCTCCTCCTCCTCCTCCTCCCTCTCCTTCTCCTCCTCCTCCTCCTCCTCCTCCTCCTCCTCCTCCTCCTCCTCCTCCTCCTCCTCCTCCTCCTCCTCCCCTCCGTGGCCGAGGACACGTCGGCCTACGGCGCTCTGGGGGACCGCTCCTACTCGAGCGACGTCCGGCCAATCGTGATGACCGCGAAGGGGCGGGTGGCGGAGGTGGGCGGGGATGGGGAGGCGGAGGAGGGGAAGGACTCGGAGGAGCAGGAGGACGGCGAGAACAAGGTCGAGGAGGAGGAGGAAAAAACAAGTCGAGGAAGAGGAAATGAGGACGGGGAGGAGGAGGAGGAGGAGGAGGAGGAGGAGGACGACGAACAGGAGGAGGAGGAGGAGGGGGAGGAGGAGGATGAGGAGGAGGAGGAAGACCAGTGTAAACCCAAGAGTCATCAACGATTTTGGACTGAACCCTCCCTCCAAGCTCCCTCGTCACAGGCCCCTGCAACGGTTCATTTCCATTGAGAGAACTGCTTCGTTGGAAGACAACTGTTTGAAGATCCTGCACCATGCCAAAACATTGTTCTCTGGATGTCAACGCCACGGATCAAGTGACTGCTGCGTCTTGACGATCCGGAATCGTGGAGAACGCTATGTTGGGGATTTCAACACCACGAATCAACACATTTGTTGCACCCGCATAATCCTGAATTTTTTCGAAACACCAGGTCTGGTACGTTGACCATGGGAGTCCGTGAAGCTCGTGCAAATTGTTTAAACGAATGTGCGCGGCGCTAAGGCGAGAGCTACATTTTGAAAAGGCACCGCCCTCAAAGCGTGAAGCTCCTGCAATTGTTTGAAACGAGTGTGCGCGGCGCTAAGGCGAGAGCCACATTTTGAAAAGGAACCGCCCTCAATCCGTGAAGCTCGTGCAATTGTTTGAAACGCGAGTGTGCGCGGCGCTGAGGCGAGAGCCACATGTTGAAAACCACCCGCCCTCATTCCGTGAAGCTCTTGGAAATGTTTAAGACGAATGTGCGCGGCACCAAAGCAAGAGACACATTCTGCACATTTTGAAAAGGCACCGCCTTCAATCCGTGAAACGTACTCTTGCAGTTGTTCGAAACGAGTGTGCGCGGTGCTAAGGCGAGAGCCACATAATAAAAAAACGGCCCGCCCTCAACCCATGAAGATCTTGCAAATGTTTGAAACGCGAGTGTGCGCGGCGCTGAGGCGAGAGCCACGTTTTGAAAACGACCCGCCGCCCATCTGCGAAATTGTCGTCACTGTTTAGGATTCAGAATAAAAAGTGGTGAGGCAGTCCCAGGCGAAACGCCCGGCCCGCCCTGAAAACTTGCGTCGGGGTGCGACAGGGAGAAGTTATGTATAAGGAAAATTTATTCAGGACGAGGAAAAGGAGGAAGAGGAGCAGGAAAGGAGGAGGAGGAGGAGGAGGAGGAGGAGGAGGAGGAGGAGAGGAGAACGAGGGCGAGGACGAGGAGAATGACGACGAGACCCAGGAGTTGGGGGATGATTTTGAGGACGAGGAGGATGCATGCGATGATGGCGGTTGTGATGGTGATGAGGATGATTTTTCAATGAAGATCTGGAGGAGGAGGAGGAGGAGGAGGAGGAGGAGGACGACGACGACGTCATCGACGACGACAAGGTTGAGAGCAGCGAGTGCACATGAGATGCTGGCGATGAGGACAAGGAGAGGAAACGAAAGAGGAGGAGGAGGAGGAGGGGGAGGAGGATGAGGAGGAGGAAACGGCGGAGGTCGAGGAAACGGGGGCCGAGAAGTGTGAGGGCGAAAGGAAAAAGAGGAGGAGGAGGGGGAGGAGGATGAGGAGGAGGAGACGGCGGAGGTCGAGGAAACGGGGGCCGAGAAGTGTGAGGGCGAAAGGAAAAAGAGGAAGAGGAGGAGGAGGAGGAGGAGGAGGAGGAGGAGGAGGAGAAGAAGAAAGAGGGGCAGGGACGATCAGCGGGAGGAGGGGGACCACGACAACGAGGCAGGCGACGACGACGACGAGGACGGCCACGCGGAGCCGCGAAAAGCAAGCGCTCCAGGTGGCCAGTGTGGAGCGCTCGTGGCCGAGTGCCGCCGCGGCGGGCGGCGGCAGCTGCGAGGGCCCGCCGCTTCCGAGGGAGCGGGTCGTGGCGGCGACCCCGGGCGGCGGAAGCCGCGGAGAACCGGGGAGGATGGAGGAGGCGGAGGAGGAGGGGGATGGAGGAGGAGGGGGATGGAGGAGGAGGAGGAGGAGGAGGAGGAGGAGGAGGAGGAGGAGCCAGGCATGTATGCGTCGTGCAAAAATCCGGGCGGGAGGTTTTTGGTAGTTTTCGGCCTTTGGGGGTCTTTGCCAGGCCCGAGGACCGTCAAACGTCGACTCGGGATGAGAAGCGGGTCTTGGGGAAAGGGTCGGGACGGGGGGGCGTATGGCAGGTTCGTGGCGGCGGCGACCCCGCCGCCGGCGTTCAACGTTGAACGCCTCCGACGACCCAGAATCGGTCGATGTGTAGAACGATCTGACATTTCGGAAACGGCCGACCGTTCCAGGTGGAAGCATTCCCGCGATGTCAGCAGACATTGCCGACATCGCCACGGCACGAATTTGCCGTAGGCTCAGGGCCGAGGGCTTCAGGCGCGCATCGGGGTGCGACAGGGAGGAGTTATTCATTAGGACCAGCGATGGAGGAGGGCGACGGGGATGGATGAGGGGGTAGGAGGAGGAGTAGGAGTAGGAGTAGGAGTCAAGCTAGCCAGCTCGAGCGAGTCAAGCATGGCATGCCCAGTCCCACCCGCCCTCCCACAACATAAGAAGCAAAGCTGGCACAACTGGGGGCCGAAGTCACACCGGCCAGCCGGTTTGGTACAGCTGATGCGGCCGCGATGGCGGTTGCCGACGGGAACTGGCGAGCGCGTGTTGAATGCCGCGCACGCATTGCCAGACGAGTCGAGAATGGCCCGGTACACCGCAGGAAGCCAGAGGTGGCCGGAGGAAGCCCGACGGTCTGACAGGACACCCCAAAGCATTTTTGTGAAAAAGCATTGGGTTTTTGATGTTTTTATGTTGAAATGCTTGCAAACACACGGTGTTCGGTAGGATTCTGACATGAACGCGCGAGTGTGCTCTTTGTGGTATTTTTTGCACAGGATTCGCGGCCTGGGTGCATGACAGAGCATCGCGAGTGCACCGCGCGATGACGTGAAATCGCTGGATTTGACAGAATTCTTAAGATTCCTATGGTTTTCCTATGATTTCAGCAAGAGAGCCCGGGCGGGAAATTTGTACAATTTTTGTGAAAAAAACATTGGGTTTTTGATGTTTTTATGTTGAAATGCTTGCAAACACACGGTGTTCGGTAGGATTCTGACATGAACGCGCGCGTGTGCTCTTTGTGGTATTTTTTGCAATGGATTATCGCCGTGGACGACAGGACGTCCATGTCGAGAGGAAAAAATAAGAAAAATGTTGATTTTGTATTGTTTTTTACAGGTTAGGATGGGACCACCCGGATGCGCCCGCTATCTGCCGGCCTGAGGGGGGAGTAGGAGTATATTCTAATAAGGAATAAGGATAGAGTAGTAGTAGTAGTAGTAGTAGTAGTAGTAGTAGTAGTAGTAGTAGTAGTAGTAGTAGTAGTAGTAGTAGTAGTAGTAGTAGTAGTAGTAGTAGTAGTAGTAGTAGTCGTAGTAGTGTAGTAGTAGTAGTAGTAGTAGTAGTAGTAGTAGTAGTAGTAGTAGTAGTAGTAGTAGTACTAGTAGTAGTAGTAGTAGTAGCAGGAGGAGGAGGAGGAGGAGGAGGAGGAGGAGGAGGGAGGATGAGGAGGAGGAGAAGTAGGAGAAATGCCTCTCAGTTGGACCCCCTTGGCGCCGCACACCAGATGTCGCTCTTGCCTGGGGTCGCTCCACTGCGCGTGGCCAGTCTTTGCGGGCTGCTCCAGCAACCAGCCTCGCGCTCGCTGCGCCTACTCCTCCTGCCTTCCTCTCCCCCCTCTGCGCTCTGCCCCTAGCGTCTCATTTTTTTTAGCTGGGCGCTTTTGCGTGGCTTCGGGCCCCTGCCCTCCCAGATCGATCTGGCCCGACAGATGTTTCAGAAAGGTGGGGTCTAAGTCTCCAGTGATGATTTTGTACCCTTACTCGCAGGTATGATTTCGACTTGCGTTCACCCGTGTGGACTTTGGCGCGATATTTTGCAAGGCGCGCTTGGAACGTGATCTGTTCGAGACAGACACGAGAGTGTGCTTGGTACTATGTTGCCGAGATGAGGAGGGTGTGTGTGTGTGGGGGGGGGGAACGGGTGGTAGATGCCCGACCGGCTGGGGTGATCTGATTTGATTGGCGAATTGAGCGATGAGGCGGACCCATATGTAATTTGCAGAGGCCCAAGGGGGGCAGTGAGCTGGGGAGGAGTCAATTTCTTTGTGCGAAAAGACAACACACGTAGTGAACTTATCCACGAATAATTGAAATCGTGAGTCCGAATGCTCTCCGTCAGCTTCAAGGCACCCACCCACCCACCTGCAACTTGCTGGCAAAACCCACCTGGCCTAATGAGGCGAAGACCCTTGTCATGCGGATCAGGTGCACCAGCGGGCGAATTGGTGATGATGGTGTTGACGACGAGAGCGGCGTCATCAACGATTCAGATGACGGTTATGACGTTGATAACGACGCTGGGGACGATGTCGACGACCGTTCGGATGGTGATGGAAATAGTGTAAATGGTGATGACGGTTGCACTGATGGCGGTGGCGACGATGATGACAGCTTGTGTTCACGAAGACGATGATAGGTTTTGCGCTCGCAGAAGTTCGTAGAAGTACTGACCAACATGTTTTTGAAGAGCGCTTGGATGTGTAACCTCATTCGACTGCACGGCAAGCGAAAGCCAGTGGTTCCCTCATGATTTCAGCGAGTGCGCGCGCAGAAAGTTGGCAACCATTCTGTTGAAAGAACAACGGGTTTACCTAGACGACCACCCTTCGGGTGATAAGGAGGTTGGGGACCAACATCTGACTCAATCGATCTCACTATCGATCTCACTCAATGGGACACCACTGGACACCACCGGAAACCACGGAACATGTGTCGATCTAACTATCGATCTCACTCAACGGGACACAACGGGACATCACGGGCCACCACGGGACACCACGGGACGCCGCGGGACAACGCTCGATCTCATTATCGGTCTCATTATCGATTTCACTCAACGGGACACCATGGGACACCACGGGACACCACGGGACAGCTCGGGACACCACATCGATCCCATAGTCGATCTCGAACGACCCCACTCAACGAGACACCACGGGACACCACGGGACACCTGTCTATCTCATTATCGGTCGTTATCGGTCTCACTTTTTGGGACACCACGGGACACCATGGGACACCACGGGGCACCACATCGACCTCGCTATCGATCTCACTATCAGTCTCACTATCGATCCCACCCAACGGGGCACCACGGGACACCACGGGACACCTGTCGATCTCACTATCGATTTCACTTTTTGAGATACTACGGGACACCTCGGGGCACCAGTTCGATCTCAGTATCGATCTCACTATCGATCTCAATTTTTGGGACACCACGGGACACCGCGGGACACCGCAAGCCACCGCGGGACGGACGGACGGACGGGCGGGCGGGGGATAATCATTTGCCTTGACTTCGCCCTAGCAACAGCGGACATCACGGGACACCACGGGACACCGCGGGACACCGCGAGTCACCGCTAGACGGACGGACGGACGGGCGGGTGGGGGAGAATCATTAGTCTTGACTTCGCCCAAGCAGCGTCGGACACCACGGGACATCGCGGGACATCACGAAAAACTACGGGACACCGCGGGACACCGCTCAAGCCACCCCCGGACGGATGGTGGAGGAGCAATTTTTGTTTCGATTTCGCCATAGCAACGGCGGGTTTATTCCTCTCGCGCGCCCACGCAGCTTCGCCTCGCCCGCACGCGGGACACGAACGAAACGAAACGATGTCCGGTTGGGGGTCTCCGTTCCAGTTCGATCTCCCCCCCGAACCCCCGACCAAAACAAGTTGTTTATCGTCTCGGGCCTGGGGATCCGTTCGGACCCATCCAGCTCGAAACAACGTAGTCACGTCGAACATTTCTGGGCCCGTTCGGACCCAATGATCCTGCTTGAAGATGGATGATGACACCATGTTGTTTCTGAAGCCGTTCTGGTTGCAGAGACGAAGCGGTTGTCTGCAGCCAATTTGGCTTCAGCTGTTTGCGTTGCGGCTCGCAGCAGGCCCTGCAGAAACCAGTGCTGCACCAAGCTGCAATCTGGCTCCAGCGCAGGGCATGGGGCAGGTGGCGAGCACATGTATCGAAGACGCCTACGGCGAATCACCGCTGCCCCCTACCCCTTTGGAAGCGCCTCTGTGGCCGACAGCTGAGCCAGAGCTGGGCCAAGCTATCGGGCCAGTTGTTCCCCGAGTCGGTTTGGAAAGACTTCGGGGAGCGCATGGGGGAGCAATAAAAGAAGGGGGAGGATGAGGAACAACGAGGAGGAGGAGTAGTAGCAGGAGGAGGAGGAGGAGGAGGAGGAGGAGGAGGAGGAGGCCCCTTGGGCGCCTCTTGGGGCACTCTTGGAGCTTCCTGGGAGCTTCCTGGGGGCCTCTTGGAGGGTTTTGGGGGGCCTTGGGGGTCTCTTTGGCCGTCTTAGGGCGTTCCTGGCTTGTCTGACGCTGTCCGAAGCCGTCTTAGGGGGCCTCTCTGGGTCGTTTTGGGGCCCTCTTGGGGCATATCAGGGGTTCTTAGATGCCAACTTGGGCGTCTTGGATGCCTCTTGGGCCATTTGGGGGCCCTTTTGGGGCCTTCTTGGGAGCCCTTTGGGCCGTCATGGGGCCATCTTGGAGGCCTCTTGGGCGATCTTGGGGGCCTCTTGCGCCGTCTTGAGCCGTCGGAATGCCGAGAAGAAACAAATGCCAACATCTGTCCGTAACCTCATGAACATCAATGATTTTGGCATCGTCGTGCCCTCCTGGAAGACCTCCTGGACGTCCTTTGGGCCGTCTTGGATGCCTATTGGGAGCCTCTCGGGCCGTCTTGGGCCATCTTGAGACCATCTTAGGCCGTCTTGGGTGCACCTTGGGCCGTCTTGGAGGCATCTTGGGGCCATCTTAGCCGT